ATTATTACGTTACAATTATTCTATTATTACAATTAAAATTATAAATCACACTTAATGAAAGTGACTTATTTGGATATTTAGATTTGATAGTTAATTACAGTAAAAACACTCTAAATGGCAGTATTTGTATTTTACATTTGCAAGAAATTATCGGATTAAAACAGAAACAGAAAATACTTTAGAGGTCTTTTATGTTTTGGATAGCTGCGAATATATTTACAAAGATGAGTTATTAGAATAAAATAGAATATGGTTGCATTCACTACAGAAACACAATTTGTGTAATCCAAAATTCTGGTGACAAATTAATTTCAATATTAGAACTTTATCAGAAAATCAACTATCCTAAAGTACGCGTTAGTATGCTAAAGTTACTGTTTCTTTAAACTGACGACAAAATAAGCCAATGGGTGAATATTAGATGATTATAAAGACCCTAAATTTATTTATTACGATAGAGATCAAATGTTGCAGGGATTTTTTTTCCTGCATCACTCCACTGCCTATCTGCAGACTGTTATAGCTCACCACATTTTGACTAGTATTTAACTTAGTGAGGCTAACATTAACTTTATAGTAGCTAGCTACATAACTAAACAAACTCTAGACCGGATGTGTGATATCACAGTAACAATACTGTGTTGAGATAAGTTTAATTCATAAAAACACGTACAGCCTGTTCTTGAACAGTCCCACTGTATATTGGATATGCTGATAACAAGTCCGAGCATCCGCTTGTTAGCAGCTAACGTTAGCTAGCTTGCTGGACTCTGTTATATCACGAATGCGCTAATATAAAAATATAAACAAGAGAAAAATTATATACTCACATTTGCGCCACTACTTTCTGTCGAAAGGCTGGACTCCTCCAATCACTATCAGGACCTGGGACATCCATAACTGATAATCTTAAACAACGACGAACAAGCTGCTTCCACTTTCAGTTAGCTATGTGCGTACGAGTCCTGAATGGGATCTTCTACTGAGTCGGATCTTTTCAATCGGAAAGACTGAGCTAAATGAATCGTTCATAAACGAACAGTCGAACTGACTGTCTGAGCGGATCTTGAGTCAGCAGCAGTAATAAACATTTAGCTAAAACTCACAAATGCGTTTTAAGGCAGATATATAAATACATTTTATTTTTGTAAATGGAATTTAGCCTACATGTGAGTCTGACTGCAACAAACGCCCTTTCAAAAAACAAATATACTTTTAAGATTAACGCTGGTGTACATTGTATTATTTGGTAATTTATTAATTCGCAAAATTATTTTGACAAATTTAGTTTATGTATATATATATTTCTTATTACCTAAATGATCTTTTGCCTTGCCAAGAAATAATTAATAAAATGGCTTAACATTTAACTTTTTAATTTAATTGTTAACTTTGTTAATTTTATTTTTAGTTCATTAAAGTGGCATCCTACTATTTAAAACAGATGTAGTCTTGTATTTTATTATTGCAGTACTGATTTTCAAATGTGTTAGTTAGTGGCTTTGGGGTGTGGTTATTAGGCAGACAAGTCATGGGTGATATGTCAAATGAAAAACTTCCTTCTGCATTTTTCACTTTGACTAAATGGTGGCTTCCTGTCTTAACATTGTTCACTGTATTTTTAATACTGTTTTACAGTTTTGTTTATTTATTTTTGTTTAGTCACCATAATTAATGTTTATGATTAATGTTTACATCACCCAAAAAAATGAAACAAAAATAATGTTTTACCATTTACTCATACAAGTGTCCAAGCCTTTATGAGATTCTTTTCTTATGTTAAACACAAAAGAAGAAATTTCAAAGTATGCTGGAAACCTGCAGCCATTGACATCATAGAAATAAAATACTATGGTAATCAATGGCTAGTGGTTTCCAACATATTCAGAAGAAAAACTAGTCTAAAACAAATCATGAAAAAAAATGACAGAATTAAAATTTTTAGGTTGAAAATTTATCAATTTAACTTCTTAAGAATTACTTTACTTAACAATGAACACATCTCTGTAAAGGATGTATAAGTACAGTATGTGAGAGTGTGACTAGTGATAATTCAGAATCTTCTGGTTTGAAACGAAGTCCAAGATCCACAGTGTCTATAATACTAATAAATTTGAGTGTATTATTTTAAATTTTAAAATGGCCTTAACAAGTATAGGTTCATTCGTTTTAAAGGGTATTTTGGCTTTATTTGATCTTAGAATTGTGGCAGGTCAGTTCACACCTTGTGACTTGACCTGCATTCTGTACTTTTGATTTGTGGTGTGTGTGGATTTATAGAATAAAAGCTTTTTGTCCAAATAGGCTAATTCCCACCTTGCAGGAGAGCATGTCCTTCTTATTTATTTTTAACAATGTGTTTATTGTTTTTGATTATGCAAGACAGGTAACAGAAAAACACAATTCCATTTTGTCGCAATTATTTCCCACCCCAAGAAAAGAACAATGTCAAACCAATTTGTTGCTCCACTTTGCCAAGAAGTGATCTGGAACTGCATTATAAAATAAATGTGAATCTAACTTTCGATAACTGGTAAAAGGTGTAAACATTTACTGGGCAACATTGCACCATTTGCCATTCCATCCAGCGTTATATGCAGGGGCGGACTTAATGATTTGGGGGCCCTAAGCAATTCCAGGTATGGGGCCCTAGCATTGAAACTCAAAACACTCTCTTTCTCTAAAAAAATTGTTTTCTTTCAAGATTCATTTTTTGTAAATAAACTGCATGTTAAAATACATATTTTAAGTGAAACCTTCTTAATTTAAAATTAAATACAATATATTCGGAAATAGCGAGGCAGTGGTGCAGTAGGTAGTGCTGTCACCTCACAGCAAGAAGGTCACTGGGTCGCTGATTCGAATCTTGCTTGTTCTCCCTGCCTTCGCGTGGGTTCCTCTGAGTGCTCCGGTTTCCCTCACAGTTCAAAGACATGCAGTATAGGTGAATTGGGTAAGCTAAATTGTCCGTAGTGTATGAGTGTGTGTGTGAATGTGTATGGATGTTTCCCAGAGATAGGTTGTGGCTGGAAGGGCATCCGCTGCGTAAAAACTTGCTGGATAAGTTGGCGGTTCATTCCACTGTTGTGACCCCGGATTAATAAAGGGACTAAGCCGACAAGAAAATGAATGAATGTATTCGCAAATAAAAAGCAAGTTCACAAACTAGTTAATTAGTTTTGATTTGTGATTAGATTTTAATATTTGCATGTGCAGAACTGGAGAAAAATTCCACTATTCATTGGGGCCCCTGGTTTAGAAAATAAGTAATAATATTAAAATCTTAATGGATACAGACAGATTTTACAACATATTATAGAAAAATGTGAAAATAGCTAGGATGATTAATAAAGGCTTCTTGGCATTGGTCGGGGCCTCCTATTTTCTCGAGGTCCTAAGCGGTTGCTTACCTCACTTTTTGGTTAAGTCTGCTCCTGGTTGCATGTAAGAGCTCTTCTTTATTAAAGAAAATGTAATGTATTGGACATAATGCTTGTAAGACGACTTACATAAAGTTGCTGTTTTATTTTTGTATTTAAGGTTCTGTATTATTATGTCTCTGCATATGTATCCTGAATGTTTTTCACCTCTAATAATCATTATCTGTATAGGAATGCAATTATCAATGTTAACATATTCAGGACTGTAAATTACTCAAGTAAAGGCACAATCCCACCAAGATAATTCATATACATAAGTGGTAGTAAAGTTAACTTTATTGTCCTTGACAGGAAATTTGTTATGGTCATCACCATATTGCTGCAGACATTCCATAAAACAAACAATAAAAATAATGCAAAATACAGTAGTTTTAATATTACAATGCTAATTAAGATAAACTCTTGTTAAATAAACCCACTGAAATGGGTACAAAGGATTTCTTATACAAACAATGTTTAAACGCAGGCTGCTGTTGTCCTAATACTTTGCCATTATAGTTGTTGGTGGTCTTTTTTTAATTCTATATTTAAAAAGGTCTATAGGTTATACTGCAACTAAATACATTCTGGTGTAGCTAGAATGAGTAAAATGAGATGTAGAATGAATACCCTCAATTATTAACTGAATTTACACAAAAAAAATGCAATTTAACTTTAATGTTTTACTGATTTAGAAAAGTAAATTCGGCTTGTGCACATTTTCTTCAGTTTCTTCCACCGATAAATGTTTAAATTCATTAGGCACCAACATATCATAAATTTATCAAAAAGTTGAACATGTGAAGCTAATATATATAACTCCCCGTGTAAACAACAGGTATCCAGATAGGATGTGATCCAAGCTTGCCTTCCAAAATGTAAGCAAAAATACAGCACTTTAAAGCTTTTACTCACGCTAGGCTCTGTCAGTGCCCTGTGTGTCTCATTATCGCGGTTCAGAGAGTTTGAAATGCAGCCCCTCTGAACGCCACTCATTTCATTCTTCCTTTTAAGTAACAGGCGCTCGGGGCGTTCGTGACGGGCGATCAGACAGACCGTGAGCGCGCGCAGATCCGCCCTCCAGACGCCATTTCTCGGACGGTGTGGGGAGCTGAAGCAGCCTTTACACCAATCCCGAGAAGGAAAGGAGGACATAGAAAACAGAATTTTTAAGAAAGGTCTTCTCGCTCGTACTGTAGCGTGAAAGACGCGCGCGTCAGAAAAAAGAGCGCCGTGCAAGGCGGGAAACTTTATGTTTCTAGATTTTTCACAATTCGTTGTTTGTGAAGACGTGTTGCGGGCCGCCATTTTTGTTACAGCTCTCTAAGTCTGCTTGGAGTCAAAATTAGAGACACAACTCTTTCGTGCTTTGGGGCAGAACGCAAAGAAGAACTCGTTTTTGGAAGCAACTGACGTACGTCGGCTTGAATTGTCATGCTGAGCGATTTAGTAACATATTATGGCGCTGTTTGGCTCCTCTTGAGCGGACGGTGACTGAAGACGGCTAGCTCAGCTAACGCGTTATATTGTCTCATAAGCTGCAGCTACTTTCACGGAAGAGAGAGCGGAAAGGGGAACTTTGATTCCAAATACGTGTATTTGAGCTCGCTCTGAACTTTTGGGGTTATTTACACCTCTCCTAAAACCGCCGCGAATCTTGTGTTGGTGGAAAATTTAGCAATGCATCAAAGTTGGTTGACGCTAGTCGCAGCCTGTCTGGTCAAACGTCAGGTTGCGGTTCAGTAGGACTGACGGGTCTAGAAGTGCTAGGTCGCTTGTAAGAATAAGCATTTGTTGTTTTAATTTATTGCTCGTTTTGCTTTTTTTCACCCGTGTTCGTCAGTTACAAGTGTATTTCGAATAAACATGTCGTCTGCACGGTTCGACTCCTCAGACCGAGCCAGCTGGTATTTCGGGCCGGTTTCGAGACAGGAGGCGCAGAATAGGCTACAGGGACAGAGACACGGGATGTTTTTAGTGCGAGATTCGTCCACTTGTCCTGGTGATTATGTACTTTCAGTGTCCGAAAACTCCAAAGTTTCGCACTATATCATCAACTCTTTGCCAAGCAAGAGATTCAAGATAGGCGATCAAGAGTTTGATAATCTACCCGGCCTTTTGGAGTTCTATAAAATACATTATTTGGATACGACCACCCTGATAGAACCAGCACCAAGGTAAGAGTTTTTTTCATTTACTTTTGACATCGTCACATCATCCACCCCTCTTCTCAATAATGTTCTTTTCCCTCCCCTTCTCTTCTGTGGCAAGCCGTTTAAACATTCGAAGTAACCAGGATCTGTTTTTATTGACTCATTTTTGTCATCGTTACTTGCTAGACTATATTTTTAAGTTGCATTAGTTACCAGTTATTACTCATCTATTTTGTACGTTTTCTGTTGCAACAATACTCCAATACCCAGTAGTGTATTGTGTAAGTAACCTGTAATTGCAACGGAAACTAAATTTCAAATCTTTGCAAGTTGAAGCTTTTTGGATGTTTCTGGAAATGCTTTCAGTTTTACTTTTAATTTGACACTGGCATTTATATTTTAGCTAATAAGTAACACATTGCATGGTTTTATTGTGGTCTGACTACTGTGGTCTGCTAGTAAGGTTATTTTTGAGCTATCATAATAATTTTTTTTTCACAAAGTGGCAAGTAAAAAAAAGTTGTTACAAGATAAATATTGCTAGTTACAACTAGTAAAACTGGAAAGACAGCAGTTTGTTACTAGCATAATTTTCTTAGTGACTGTCCTCTAAAAATTTGACTCTACTAGTCCATTAAAATCATGTTTTTTTGTATAGCCAATTCAATTATAAAGCAGAATTTTTTATATTTTGATGTTGTAATTAAAACGTATTATCAGAGATAATTTGACAGAGATTCGGCTTAGTTATGATTAAATATTATTTTGCTAAATATTACAACTTATGATTGTAATGAATGAATCATTTGGAAACTTTGTACATCTGTCAAAAATGGACGTCATCTGCAAGTCTTTATAAGTTGATAGTAATGTAAAAGTATTGATTAGTTTTGGCTTACTTGCTAGACAAAAAGTATCATTAGTTGGCAAAAATGCAATCTCAATAATTATTTTCCATATTGACAATATGAGCAATTCCATGCAAATGTCAACCTTGCTATGAATTTTTTTTATGTTTTTTACCAAAATAGCTAAATTCTTTTTTTGTGTGTGTGTGTGTGTGTGTGTGTGTGTGTGTGTGTGTGTGTGTGTGTAGGCTTGTATTTTACTGGACTGAAAAATCAATTATATTTAATTTATCAAAGTCGCACAAGTAGCAATTTTACATCCGTCACATCCATAGCAGAGAGACGTCACATCCATAACTAACTTAACTTTTTTTTTCAATAAATACAAAAATGTAAAATAAAATCAAGATTTTTTTTGTTCTATAGAGAGCCAACTCTCATCCTTTTAATTAGCATTATTTCATTTGAGTTTTGCTGTTTTAATTCACATAATTTCTTCAAAGTATGCTGTATACTGTAACTTGCAGACTTTTTTGGTCATATCCATAACGCATGTTTATTTTCCTCATTTAAAGTATGAAAAATGTTTACAGATTGATATTTTTTAGATCCCTTAACTTGGTGGTTAGTTGTTTTTGATTGTTAAAATATACTTTTTTCTGTGAATTTATGTTTTGAGTTTTTGTAAATGTTATATCTATAATGCTGAAATTGCTCATATTTCGATGCAAGTTGTTAATGCTTCCAGATGTAAAAGTGTATGCCAACAATGACTGAAGTCACAAAAATTAGAGGGACCATTAAATGGCATAATATATGTTTGGCCGATAAATTTTTGGTGGCCGAACATTGGGTGCATCTCCAATACCAACACACTTTTAGATACCCATTGTTGCACATTTCTGCTGTGTAATTAGGTCAATATCAAGTAAAAAATTTCAGAGCTTATCATTGATATAAATTTTCGCGACTCGATATAATACAGTTTATCGGCCCAGAATTAATCATTAGCATAAATTGATTCACTAAGTGTAAGCTATAACTGTTAAAACTGCTTGCCATAGGTTTGGTGGCTGTTTAGTATTACTCTTACAATGAGAGTAATGAATTAAACATCTGTAGTTCCCCTCAATTTTGTTCTGGTTCTTTATAAAATGTTCTTTTTGAGATGTGCAGTAAAGAAAAATTAAGTTATTTCCCTTTAAGATAACAGGAAGTTACTCTGCATGTGAAAGTGCACATCGAGTAGATGATTAAATATTACAAAAGGCCTCCACTAGCGAGAAGCTGATTAAAGTGTTTGCTTTTAGATGGGCTCTTAAATGCTGCTTTTCTAGTTTATAAGTCGATCCTAAATATGATTTGATTGTTGTTCTACAGGTACCCCAGTACTGCTCTGCCCAGTGGTCCTATTCAGCCATCTGGAGGACTGGGTGATGAGAACCAGGAGTATGTGCGGACTCTTTATGACTTCACTGGCAGCGATGCTGAAGACCTTCCTTTCAAGAAGGGTGAAATCCTAATAATTATGGACAAGCCTGAGGAGCAGTGGTGGAGTGCCAAGAACAAAGAAGGCCGAACAGGCATGATTCCTGTTCCCTATGTAGAAAAGCTTGTGAGATCTTCGCCTCATCCTGGTCAGTCCATCCATGGTTCACGGAATTCCAATAGCTATGGCATCCCTGAGCCATCACACGCCTATGCCCAGCCTCAGACTCCATCTCCCATTCCTCCTGGTACACCCGGCGCTGTCATCAACCCGCTACCTTCTGTGCAGAACGGGCCAGTGTTGGCGAAGGCGATCCAGAAACGAGTGCCATGCGCATATGACAAAACTGCTTTAGCACTGGAGGTAAGTGGCTAAATGATCGCTCCCATAAGCCAGTATTTGCATTTGACACCCACTCAGGTATTTGATTGATGAAAGGCAATATGTGCAACCTTATGTGCATTTAAATACATATCTTCATTTTTTTTCTTCCTAAAAACCAAAGTTTATTCAGTCAGCATAGATTTCTACTGGCTTAAATGTTAGCTAATTTAAATGCTGGATGCAGTGCTGGCTGCCATAGACACTTAGGTTGGTTAGATTGAAATGGTGCAGCGGTTATACATTTAAAGGGATTTTACCTTTTGCTACATTTTGTCAGATGGTGCTGATTGCTTGGTAATGTGAAATGACCAATATTTTCTTTTGATGACACATTTGTCAGCTCAGTTCTATGTTTTGAAGGGACTTTCCTTAGATGTTTGAGCAAAAAATGACTTTGGTTGAATGCTAGAGAATTAAATAGTGATCATTCTTTTGCTGACTTACTGCATTTTCGAATTTGTGTTTTCACTTTGTGCATTACACTGGGGTTTAAGTTACTTTCACTTCTCATAGTTGGAAAATTACTTTGGCTGTGCATCTCTGCAAGAATTGTTTCAGCAAAGACATTAATCACATAGACCACTATTTCTTGGCTTGTTCACGGTCTAAAAAAGAAATTCCATACTTTAGTCATCCCATCTGGCAAGTTCCAGCACCCCTCTATCCGTTCCTACATGCAAAGCCTTGTCCATTTGTAGAAAACATTACATAACCTATGTCTTAGTCAGCCTGAGAAGGTGTCAGTGGATTTAGGTGTAGGTGCAAGAAAATGTTAAGAAACTCAAAGCTTAGGTTTGTCATTAAGCCCCATGTGTTTTTTCATTGGTTTACTGTTTTATATGAGAGCAGCTTGTATATGGAAATAAGGATTATGACGCACAGTTTGTTATGGCCTCAAGCTAAATGGTCTAATTTAGAGCAGCTATTTCAAGCGTTTTGACAAAATGAAGCATGTCAGTTACTGCATGTAATGTCAATTTCTTAATGTGTTCAAAGTTAATGCCTAGATATTTGTAAGAGTAGTATTTCTTTATTAGTATTTTAATAGATATTAACCAGTACTGCTTTATGCATTCAAAGAATTTCCATGTCTTTGAAAATTTTTTTGTTCCTTTGGCTGTAATTTTTGGTGGGCAGGATATAATCTTTTCCTCAGGCTTTTCCTTATTTGTTTTTTATAGGTTAGGGTTTGATGAAATGTCAAAGCTTTCAGCACGCCTTATAAGAAACCAGTATAATGTTTCTTTCATATAAAATGGTGCATGCTGTCCTCTGTTTACTTGATATTCTAAATTAAGACCCCATGATTTTTGCAGTATTGAAAAGATGGATGGCATCAAATAATCCAATAGTAATATTGACTATTTAATGAGGAAGATCATGGAATTTATTGTCATTTGGATTAATAAATCATAGTATCCCTATCAGTGTTAGGGTTAGTGCATTACAAGTAACGTGAGTTCCGCAATAATATTCCTTTTCTAAGTTCAAACTAAGGTAACACATTATAAAAAAAAAAAAAAAAAAAAGCAATAATATTTGTTACTTTTTAGTTTAATTAATTGGCTTATAAAAATAAATTGCTGAATTAAAAATAGTCGCAATGAATCACGCAGTCAATGAGAGAATTTTTATTTTTAAACAAATTGAAGAAAGGGAAAGGCGGATTGGCTTAATGCATAGTGGTTTTACTTAAGACAAATAGTAAAAAAGTAACAAACACATTGCTTTAAACTTTCAATAATCTGTACACGGCATGTATAGCTCTGGGGTTAAGCAGTTCTCACATAAGATTATCCCAAAGTATTATTTTTTTAATGTGTTTTTTAAAGGTAGATGTAGGTGTATGTTTATACAGTTATGAAATGCAGAGCTCCCCCATTAAAGAAAGAAAAACAACAAGTTCTGGAAGAGATCAAGCCTTAGCTAGGTAATATAAAGTAATGCAAAAGTAAGGTAATGCATTATTTGCTTAAAAAAAAAAAAAAAAAAAAGTAACTGAGTAGCGCAACTAGTTAATTTTTGGGGGACTAACTTAATATTGCAATGCATTACTTTGTAAAGTAACTTTACCCAACTCTGATCCCTATACACAGACCTAATTAGAATGTGATGTGGACTAGTAGTGTCTGAGAATATATGGCAGATTCGTTCACTACACACTAAAGCTGTGCGGCACTTGTGGTATTTTCAGAATGTGTAATGAACTTCATCTCCCACGTCACTTTACCAACATTTAGCCATCATGTACATCATTAACCAACTTGAAGAAATTGTCAAAGTAAAATGTACTTCTGAAAGTAATAACTTTTTTTTTTTAACATTTATAAGTTTAGTAAAATTAGAGAACACTGATTCATAGATGCAGGTATAACAAAAAAAAAAGAACAAACAGAAAGACAAAATGTAATCCAACATAGTCAAACAAAATGGTCCTACTAAATGCTTAATGTTACTTGTGCCCTAACAGTTTTTTTTCTTCCTGTTGTTATCCCCTCAGGTGGGTGACATTGTGAAGGTGACTAGGATGAACATCAGTGGTCAGTGGGAAGGGGAGGTAAACAACCGGAGAGGTTTATTCCCTTTCACTCATGTGAAAATACTGGACCCCCAAAACCCAGACGAGAGTGAATGAGCTGTGCCATGCTCTGTCAGCACCCTGTCAGCTCGCTGGACGCCCCATCAAGTCACCACCGGTATAATGCTTGCCTGCCCTGGGGCTCCGCTGTGGCGCATTTCTCAAGCAAACCATTTGTGTGGCTTCTGACTGTTTACAGCTCTGGAATCAAACGGTTCTTAATCCCCCTCACTCGGTTACAGGCAAATCAGTATTTTTGTTTGTTTTTTCTGTCTGCCCTTCTGTTGTTTTCACAAATCAGCCGTCTTTACCTGTAACAAGGTGAAATAAGGTCTCCAACATGAACTTCTTGCCACTCCTGCAGTTTCTGTCTTTAGCTTTGACCTCTATGAGCTAAAATAGGATATCAAGAAAGGGAAAGAAGGGTAAATATACCCTCTAATTTGCCAACGGTTTACCTGTTTAGTCCAAAAATGTATCTATTATTTTGTATTTTGTTACATTTAAAAGAGTCCCTATGATACTGATACTGATCAACAGCCATGACTTGAAGATATTTCAGTGGCAGTTTTATAGAGTAGCAACAACCGTGCCACTCCTGACTGGCCTTAGGAACAGACTTGCCATTTTTTTCCTCAACTAGTATGTGAGACTAGTCTACTGTAGCCTTTTTATTTGTGCCATTATAACTTATCTGTAAATTGCAGTAGTCGTGTAGCTAGATGGTTGTGGCTAGATTCTCGGTGGATCTCTATAATGCTGAAGGGCTTGCCTGTGGAGCTTTTGCATCCGGTTGGGGTGTCATTGATGAGAGATTGAGTCTGGGGAGAGTAAAGACGCACCTCATCTATTTTTTTGGACAAGCTGGAAATGTCACCTGTGCAATCATGAGCTCATCTCTTGAGGATTAGATTCTCCCTCATCCTCTTCTTCTACTCTGGTGGCAGTAAAGTCTGGATCTCGCTCTGCTTCATGACTGTTACTGCACATCACAAGGTCTAACTTTGATGCTTTGTGCCCAATTTTGACTCCATAACCTGACATACACCTTTTTAAGTTTTGTCCATCTGTAATAATCAGTTTTGTTTTTTGTTTGTTTTAGCCGGGTGTTGAATCAAGCATTTACTCTGTGTTGAAATAAACTGGCATTTTTTTCTAAAAAGGGATTAAAAAGCCTGTTGGTGGCCTCTGTGCATGACCTTCTGCCCAAGAGGGTTTTCCCCCCTCTTAGGTTAAATGCTGCTTCATGTCGTGTTTTGTTTTCCATCTGTCTGTCTATTTTCTTCTGTTTAAATTTAACTCCAGTTTTGAAAATTGGCTGGTTTACATTTATAGCATCGAGACAAGGCTAAATATTCATATTAAGCAATAGACCAACCCGGATCTTTTAGAAGTGATCAGATAATTTAAGGTTTCAGATGGCTGAGTTTTTCTTTAATTTTTTTTTGGTAAGGCTTTAACAGTATTACTGTTCATTGTTTGACATTACAAGATATCTATGGTTTTGTTTTAAAAAAATTGTGCCTTTTATTTTCTTACATCATTTACATGTTAATAATATTTCCCATGGTTAACACCTGTGCTGGTATTACCCATATGTACAGAACGAGTAAATAAATTTATGTCTACTTCTCTGTGTGCGTATGACCAATTTCTTGTTGATTTATTGTGTAATGCAGAATTAAGAAGCCTGGAAGTCTTGACCTGGAAAGTCAAACCTTAAATCTTGCATTGACTATGGACATGAGTCTGAATTAATCTGAATAAGACAATTCTTTGATAATGATGTTTACATGAGTTGCTATTTAAATGTTGTTTCATGATCCTGTTTTACGTGTTATAGCACATAATACAATTAATGTCATTGCTTCACCACGCTATCCACATTTCCTCCAGAGTTTCATGTAATTTCTGGTGTTTCATTTTTAATATGTCCACTTTAACTGGAGTTTGGCACTTTCACATTCATTCAGGAACGTTTCATGCATGCCCCTCGTCACAAATGAGATATTGGATGTGTGTTTAAACTGCTGGAAAAGTAGTTTCAATGAAATTTGATACCGTATGGGGAAAAAAAACCTCTGCATTTGGCTATGCAGGTGTCTGGTCCATTATTTACTTTGTAGGTGCAGAGAATCATATCAAACAGCCATGTGTGTATAGACTATCCAGTCACAAAATGCGGTGTAAATCCCACGATACAGTAATAGTTTGATTAAGGTCTTTACATGTCTGTAGTGCACTTCAATAATGCAACTTTATTTTGACTTTATTACAAGTTTTGTGGCTTTAGTCGGATTCGGGTAATCGAAAATCGCTGTTTACATAAAAGACTCTTAATCAGTATTTTCTCAATCGGATTATCGGTGACCAAACCATGAAAACGTACTCGATGTCTAGGAAATTTTGGGCTGGCAATTTGTGCCACTTGATTTCATAGGGGCATGTAACTGCTTAGTCAGGCAAGTGGCGAATTCATCAATTTTATATGTATGAAAACGTGACTTTCAGAAATACCAAACACAACTTGAGGAGATTGTTTGACCTTAAATGAATTGGCCACAAATTTAAAATATTTAAAATGCTCTGATAATGTTTACATTAAGAAAAGGTACTTTGCATACAAATGAAAATCTACCCAAGCAATTTCTGCTCCAATAATTCCTAATATAAAAAAAAATAGTGATCACAAATAGCTGCTCATGTAAATCATTTAAATGATCTGGTCAAATAGAGTGAGAACCCTGTAGAGACAAATCTTTTCTGGAAACTTCTTAATCTTAAAGTGGGTCGTTTCGAAGCCCCTGCTTCTGTAGACATTTTTGTTCACAGAGATGATGTAACAGCGTGTTTAGTGTTCAGTATCTGGAACAAGAGGTTGGTTGCTCGCTCCATCTCACTTGAATTTTTTTATTAGCACAAGTTGTGATTGTAACTGTGCCCTAGAGAGAAGACATAATTAAAGGATTTTAATGAAGTGTCCAAAAAAAGAAACCCTGTGCTGTGATGACCTAGAGAAAGTTATGAAGGCCGTGCTTTTGCTTAGCTTTTTATTCTTTTGTAAATCAGGATTTTTTTGTTGGGGTATTTGGCTGTGTGACATTGCAGTTATGTATACATAAACTTATGTGATTAGGTTACTTGTATTGGCGCAAGTATTTATCAGTCTGGAAAGGAGAGTTTGTGATTTGAGGCTGCGCCTGTGTTTCTTTCTCTGTTGGCATGAATTGATCATTGCAGTCCGACGCAGAGCTCTGTGCTGTAACTGGTGACAAGAATATTTGGAGAATATTCAGTGAGGGAAAAAACACCTGGAGGGAAGAATTAGACTATTGCAGCAACAAATTCAACTGCAGTCTGTAAGAGCAGCTCGATCGTTCTTCCTGAAGCGCCAGTTTGCTTCCACTTAAAGCTCATTAGATTTCACATCTTGTATTTTTTATTTTGTAATTAATGGGTGGTTCTTAGTCAGAATAGTATTATAAACGTGATAAGACTTGGTCTAGTTGATAATCAAATGAGTGACTGCAATACAAAATGTACCAATCAATGCACAATGTAATGAAATATGATGGTGCAAAAATGACTCCCTTTACCTGTAAAGTGTTCATTCCCTGATTCTTAGTTGATTCTGAAGTTGTTACAAGTGTTATAATGCAGTTAAATCTTTAAATTTTTTTTTTTTTTTTTCACATTGTAGGTGCATTTGGACACAAAAAATCCTTGTTTTGTAAAAAAAAAAAATAATATGAAATGTATAAGAACAGAACTCTTTAAAATTTGAATCATTTACTTTGAGGTTATAAGTGTTCAAAAATGTACTTTATTTACACATGTACTTTATTTAATTGATTGATTGATAGAACTAATTTTATATCCATGACATTGCAACACTAAAGCACAACAGTCACACTATGCAAAAAAAATGCTTTTCTTATATTTTTTGTCTTGTTTCTAGTCCAAATATCAAATTTCTTAAATCAAGAAGCATTTTCTAGACAAGCAAAACACATTGTCTTGTTTTAAGAAATAATATGCCAAAATCAAGTGAGTTTTTCCTCAAATCAAGCAAAATAATCTGCCAACGGGGTAAGCAAAATAATCTTCTCACAAATCGAAAAACAAGATTGCTTAGCCCATTGGCAGATTATTTTGCTTGATTTAAGGAAAAACTCACTTCATTTTGGCATATTATTTCTTAAAATAAGGCAATGTGTTTTGCTAAAATGCTTCTTGATTTAAGATTTGGACTAGAAACAAGACAAAAATCTAAGTAAGAAAAGCATTTTTTGCAGTGCAGCTTTATCAAATGAAATGAGTGTAGTTAACTCAAAACTTACAGAAAGGTAATTCTACTCATTTGAAAAAAAGAGTTTTGAACTCTTGTGTTGAAGGTATTGAGTTAATGAAATACCTCATCACTTCAGCTCAAAGAGTGAGTTCACAGTACTTGGTTGGTTTGATTTCACTTCGTTTATTGGGTTTTTCTGCGCTCAAATTGCTTCGCTTACTCAAATGGATTTAGTTCACAGTACTCATTAGGAATAGTTTCTAAACTTAAATGGTTTGTTGCAATCGGTTTCCTCAAATGTTTCGAGTTACCTTAACTTGGGTTTTACAGTGTAATTATTATTATTTTTCTGCAGTGGTTCATCAATAGGCATACATTCAAAATGTACCTGCATAATTCCGAAAAGCTAAAAATCTTAAAAGATTAATCAATCATATAAAACATTTTTATGTTTTTTTTAATAAATAAAAAGTCTCTGCATTTTTATTTGTATAATATATATAAGCATGTTTGTTTTCTTACTAAAAACTATCCAATATTTTCCCCCCTTTTATTTCTTTAATTAAAGTTTATTTCTTGATGTTCCTTGAAATGGACTGACTTCGTTAACATAGACTTCAGTAATTGAATTATTTGCCTTAATCTGAATGAGACAATAATATGATTAAGGTGTTTACATCAGTTGCTTTTTGAATGTTCCTTTCATGATCCCGTTTTACATGTTATAGCACATAGTTCGATTAACATAAAAAAATCGATGAACTCAAAAATCGCTGTTTACATGGTAGACTCTTAATCAGAGTATTGTCTTAATCATTTTAAAATCGCATTATTGGTGCACATGTAAACATACACAATTTTTAAGGATTTTTTTCCACATGCAACAGTATAAAAGGTTTTACTGTAGTGAGAAATGCACTACACTCTCTCTCTCTCAAGCCAGATGTACAGTTTGAAAGGCATTCGCTGGTTGTGTTGGTCTAATGATTCTTGCAAACAGGTGCAGATAAGCTTGACAGCATCAAACCGTTAGCCCAGGACTGTGTGTGCGCTTTCTGGACGCCTGACAGACACTGCAATAGAGGAGCTAAAAATAAAGCAAATTGCGCAATTGTTGCTGGGCTTTGATATGTATTTATTGACATTTACTTTATGCAGCTTAGAGGGAGGAATGTAGAGCTCATTTTGATCTCTGCTGGACATTGTGTCACAGATACAGAAGCAACATTTCTGTATTTCATGATTCATGTTAAGACTGCAGTAAAGATTGAAGAAGAGATATTTTTGTTTGTTGTAATGGCAAACTTCCAGGCTGGACTCCAGATTAATTATGTGTGATTTACTTTTGTTTTAAAGGTTTGTAACTTTCAGTAAAATGTTTAGTTTACTGCAGTGGTTAAAGCGCCCATCTTACGATTTTTCAAATTGTCATGTAGTATGTGATGTATTTATGAACGTCTGCAAAGTTTTAAAGATCAAAGTCCATTCTGAAGTTATTGTAAAATGTGTTGCTAGGTATTCATAGTTTTATCTGTAACCAATTTGCATACCTGCCTATACCCTTCATTGGCTGCTTGCATACTTTTACTTCCCCCTAAACTCTGGAGCTGGTTTGAGTTGTCAGCATCATGTTGAGTGATTTATTGAGACAAAACAGTTATTCTACACAATTCAGCTTACACACATCTATAAAATTAGTGTGCGGAAAACTCTTGCATATGAAATGATCCCACATAACATTTCATTTCCAAGAATGAGTGTGCTTACACTAAAACTAATTAGTTAGCTTTACTAAAACATGAGTTAACCCATTATTAGGTATGTGCATAATTAAAAAAAATAAGGTCAACTTACACTTAGAATTAAAGATAAGCTGTCACTAGGACAGTACCTAACAGGTCCCCGTTGGAGCATATTATACCTAAAAAGTACAAATGTGTACCTCATAGTATCCTAAATGGTAAAAAGGTGTATCCTAAAGTACAATTATGCATCCCTAAGGTACAAAAGTTTACTTTCTAAAAACATACCACCTAGTAACATCTTTTATACCTTTATTTTTGGGCATGTACAATAGGCTTTCTCACTTCTTTAAAAAAAAAAAATTTAAGAAAAGTCAGCTTGCCACTTTTAGGGCGACAGGTTTATTCACTTTTAAAGCATGTTTTTACTGGTACATTTTTTTTTACTTTGTGGTACTTGATGAGATCTTACAGCTGTGCAATACGTGTATGTATAAATGAGTGTTTAAAAGATGTGTTCTTGTTAGGTTGGGGTCGATCAATTATAGTTCTCTAAAGTTGATGCAGGCTCAAATTATCTAGTTAAATCAGCAATCTCTAC